ATTTGCAAGAAAACGTATGAAATCTTGGAAAGAAAAAAGAATCAGCCATAATTCATAATATATACTTATCAGAAGTTAAAGAAGGAAATTATGTCAAAATAACAAGAATAGTGAAGTATGACAGACAATTCGCACGATCGATTCCAACGAGATCTTCAATTTTGTTTAATCAGCCATTTATTACGACTAGTGTGGCAACAGCGCCGCATATCACTGCATATATCGTGTTATAATGTATTTTTAATTTCCATAGTTCTTTGCTTCAGTCTCGTAAAAAATAAATTGAAAAATGCATTTCACAAAACAGATGAATGAAATATAGAACAACATAACATTAGCAGGTTCGTCTTTTTGGTGAGTTATCGTCTTAATTTATATCCGTAATATCCATAGTTTTTAATTTACATCTCGCGTTGTTTCATCGCTTAGAAGATTTATCGGTACCTTTTTTTTAATTAATATGCCGTTTAATAATTATCTGACGTGAGCAGAACATCAGCAACGCACCAGCTTTTTCATTCTTTATCAAATTACGAATTTTTTTCTTGGCTTAGACACGAAATCACTTATATTCTCGTTACCAGCACCCTATACTTTAGGCGCCAAATTCATGGCCACAAATGTCAAGTTTAACGTCAACAGTTTAGTCTTCAAACCAATCAGGGAAATCATGATTTATGGAAAATACCGAGCAATTATATAATACCTCACATCACTCTCTCTTTTCTCTGAAAAGCTATAAGGACACAGTACGCTGCACGCTGCCACAAAATTCTCGCTTGTAATTCTGGAAAATGGTCTGTCGATGGCAGTACCTTAGACCTATTTAACGAGGTTGATCACCTTCAATAACACAATAGATACTCGGATGATCAATGCTGTGCGCGCCAACGCATATCTCTGTATATGTCACCGGGTGATCGAGTTCGTCATGCGAAGCTCAGAATACTGATCTTAATTGATTCAAGTATCGCTGATGTTTCATTCCCAAATGTTCGAATAATTCTATTTTAATCAATGTTCTTGAGAAATCGAATTAACCAGTTAGATAATAACGTCGCCTTTGGTAGTTCCATGCAACATTGATTTTATTAGCATTGATTCATTTGATTGAATGTGTACAGTTTGTGTACATTTTCCTGCTCCTGCATTTTCAATACAATCCTTCCTAGCATAACGTACAATTAAAAGATTTTTAACACATTTTTAAACCTCCGTGGTTCCAGCATTTGAGTGTATAACTTTCAAGTGTTTTTTCACTACGTATGAAAAAGAAAATATCGCCAGCATTTGTATATTGGTCATTTGTAATCTCGTCCATGTATATAAAAAGGATATTTATTATAGGTTCAGCAATGTGTTACGACTAAAAAGATATGTTATTTGTTTCTATATCCTCAGTTATGTGCAGAAATAAATATTACTCGCGCGCTTGTGAACGTTTACGTTCACATTAGGTCGTTCTTGTAAAAGTTCTGTTGAAACGCGATCGAATTGCATCTAAAATCTATATATACTGTATATCTTGTATTGATTAATACATTCCCAGTTATGGTGGAATAATTTTTTAGAATACATTAAATCAAAGAATCACACAATTTCATGAGAAACGTTTCTGCAATTTTTGGGCAAGAAAATTTGTTCAACATGACTGCGCAGAAATCCCGCAACTTTCGATAATACACCAACGGCGATGAGCGTGGTCACATCATATGTAAGAAGGCAAACGCGTTATGACGCTTAAAAATGAGGAATAGTTGAAATTGAAACTCATTCTCAATTCCACATAACAAAATTTTTCGTATCTTAAATAATTCACCAGTATTTATTACGTGTATACTATAGAGTGAGTTGTATATCCAATACGTTTCATTATTAACACAAATTTTCTTTGGTCGAACCGAATTGAGGTTCTTATGCCCCATCAGTTATACCGAGTTTTGTCATTAAGTTGTTTCAATTGTTTCAGTTTCGCTTATTTCATCATTTATAATGCGTTTCATGTTCTAACTTGGGGCTGCCAATCACTCGCAGCTTCGAGGTTAGTTGGCGAGTGAAGGAAAACATGTGGAAATATTCAACCCATATATCGACTCGATGTTTATAGGCAAACAATTACTGATGGGTTTAGTTTATATTATGTAAACTAAACGTGCCTTTATAAGGTGTCCCACATATGCATGTGGAGTACTCAATGATAACTCGTCGTAAATACTCGAATAGTATATTCTACTTGAATTATAAGGATTCGGAATTGAAGCGTCTCAATGCAGCATTTAGCTAGAAATATCTATTATTTAGCCTTTTCCATGATTAGTTCTTGATATGAAACAATTAAGACAAGAGGGCAGATATATGGCGAATACATGGCTTCTTACAAGAAAGATATGCCCTGCTCTAACAAAAGCTAGGCGCGCTTATTCCGTTCATCAATTATGTTATGGCTCTTTTCAGCCACTAACACATGGGCTTTTATTTATTCATAGTTCATTTATTTATTGTTTATTGTCTGCCCATGAAGTACGCTTATAGCTAAACTCTATTTCTTCGTCTGAATATATATAGGTACCGTTGACATTGGAATGAATGGGAAACAAAACATAACATTTTTTAGATTTTTTCAGTGTCAGTTAAGACAACTATGATACGCAACTATAATACACCAAATGCGATGAAAACGGCATAACTTATAAGAAAATTTTAATAACATGAGAGCGAAATTGAGATGCCGCAAGTCGCATCTCCATCGAGTCGTACGTGAGTCCAGCCTCTATTTGCATTTACTATGAATAGTTATGATCAAAACGCATCGCAAAACTTCTACATAACCGATCAATATTTGTACTACCGTACACAAGAATAGCTCAGTTTGTGTACATTTTCCTGCTCAAACATGCGTGCCTTGTTGTAGCGAGAAGCTTTCGGCGTACCCATGCAGGTCTCGATATAGGGATTGTAGTTTTTGCGGTGCATACATGTATCCTTAGTTTTAGGCAAGTCATGCTTTTGCTTACAATAAGTGTTTATCGTTGATTCGTCGATGATTTAAGTTCATTGCTGTACAAGAATATTTGTTGTGTGCATTTAATGCGTGCAGTCTTTAAAAATACTCTTTGTTTCATGCAGTCTTTCAAAATCGGACTATAATTTCATGCGTTCAGTGAAGTGCATTTATAGCATCGTTTCATAGAACCTCTGCGATTGCCTGAAGCTTTTTTCCGTTCTTGACTTCATTGGAAGTTCACTTGTATGAATTGGAAAACCGTTTTTGTCGTTCGTTATGGCATTTGTTTTTTCGTCTTTTAGCCGCTATCATCACTCAGATTAAGTGTGATCCTGTTGACTACACATAATTTGATGTACGAAAAATTGTTTATTCGTCGGAATGCGGTCGTTTAGCTTATAACTTTTAGACGCTCAGAAGCTTTGAAGTACAAGCGAACTTGAGTTATTGAGTGCGCTTATTAGCTATAGGAAAACGGTTCGATTGTTCATTCACTGCTCGTCTGATACAGCGAGACCAGAGCAATATAGGAAGCCTGACCGTAGACCAAATGTTGCGAGTCTATATCAGATGAAATTTATAGCTTATCTCTCCTATATGCCTGGAGTGACGTCACGAGCTATATCAACGGCTGATTCGTTGGGTGCTACGTCATGCAAGAACTGGTTACGTCGCGCGCATGGCGCGCATTTCAACCGTGGGAGGTTAGCATATTATCAGAGGTTATGATGGAAGTGACATCTTTATTTCATTATATACAGATAACTATTATTGTGTCGGCGGTATCAGTTTTTTACGAGCAGTATTTGCCGCAATAGAAGGAATGAGTTTGATATCTATTTATTTATATCTAGAGCTGCTTAGCCAGTTGCGTATATTGGCTTAGAACGTAGCTTGGGGTATTTGCCCACATTTTTTTAGATAATATTTTTTCCTACAAAGTGTGCTTAAGTTGATAGCTAAATGCCATTGACTGCACTATAACGTTATGCATTACATAACCATGGCTCACTGATTACGGTGTAAATTCGATGAAAGGTTTGCTGAAAGATTTACGCTGCCATTGTAACGTGGGAGAATCTGGTTCCAGACGATGATGCATGAAGCAGTGACCGATGTGTTATGTATAAAAGACCTTGAGTGGTAGTGAGTGTGCGTGATGGTGAGTTGCAGATGCGCAAGACTTTTTGCGTCACTGCGAGACATGAGCTTAGAGGGGCGGAGATCGCTGCATGACGCGCCGCCCTGGCATGGGTTCCCTCCAATGCAGGGTACGACGACTCGCTGCTCTCCATCTTGTGGCTGCAGCTGTCTCTTATTTATTTTATTTGCTGCTCGCAAGCCACCATTTTGCTGCTATGTCTTCTGCCAAGGATCCTGTTAGGCTGCTCATCTCTTCTCAACTCACAATAGTTTTATTTGGAGGCGCAATTAGGAAGGAAGAAAGGGGTCGGAAATGCATGCTGGGGTGGGTGCTTGTTCAAGCAAGCAACGCGAGTTTCATTTTTTTTTATGTGACCTGGGCTCGGCGGTTCCTACGTAATTTCAGATTTAGCAGAAAAAACGGGCATTTGTCAAAGTTTGATGCCGCATTTATCGTGCGCAGCTATAATTTCATTTGATAATCATATGTTTGAGCGATGAATTAAAATCTTTTCCAGTGTAACATTTCAACTTAGGAGTTTTCATTTATTTAACTCTTTCGCCCAACGATGAAGATGACGGTTGCTCTATTCCTTTATCCTGGTAACTAATGTGAACGAATATATTTATGAGACTGTCCTAGTGTTACGTGATTTTTTTCTTGTGTACGCTCTGCTCGTAGTGCAGCTGTATTTTTTCCCTGTAAATGAACATTTTTCTTTGATTCCAGGAATTCGCTCCGCATCACGCTATTTCGATTGTCTATTGTAACCTTCTGCATTTTAACTTCTAAGCACGCTTTTCACGTGACGCTTCTGTGCGCGTTACTCACGTGACGTTTTGCTTGCACCAGAGAGGCGGTGTGCGCTCAGCTGGCGGTGACGCTGGAGGAGGTGCGTCACTGCCGTCAGGAGGTCGAGGGACTGCTGCTCCTCCTTAGGAAACTTGCTTTCGGTAAGTCTACACTGTTAAAAAAACGGTGAAAAAACGGTCCCACTGGCGTTCTAGTGAAACGGCCGCCCCGTGAAAATAAACCGTTTCACCGTTTTTATAAGATGTTTTACGGATTTCTAGTGTTAAATTAGAATAAAAACGGCGACACGGTGTTTCTTTTCACATACCGACCGGCCACTGAAACGCCGGTAATACCGTTAACGGTAATTTTTCTAACCGTGTATTCAAGGCGAATATTGACCCATGTTATCTGTTTATGCAAGCATCTAGTGTTTTCTTATTGACTGAGATGAGACAAGACATTGATTCTTATATTAATATTATTTTACGTGGATTTTGAAGACGATTACTTGCAGATTAAATTGTAAGAAGAAAACGTCATTTGTACATCGAGCGATTGTGTGGTTTTATACTAACGTCTGGTTACATGTTTATGGGTCTTTATGAAACTTCATTCTCATGTTTATTTCTAAGATACATTGATATTGTTGTGACAATCTCCTGTAATTGGTTGTAACATGAGTTACCGTTGTTCTGCTGCCAGACCTCAGTCAAGAGGTGCGCGATGAGGCCATGGAACAAGTTCACCTGCTGGGGCGCGTGTGCAGACGCTACAAGCAGGAGCTGGGACACGTGTTGCCGGGACATCTGTTACCTCTTGTTGTCGAACACATACTTAACTCTGCCCATCAGGTCAGTAGAATTGATCGTGTTTTACAGCATCTCAAATCAGAACGAAATAAGATAGAAATAGACTTAACTCTGACCATCAGGTCAGTAGAATTGATCGTGTTTTGAACAGCATCTCAAATCGGATCCGAATAAGATAGAAATAGACTTAACTCTAACCATCAGGGGCCATACTTTCAAAATTCGCCAAGTGAATGTAAGTACTTACGCTCTATTTTCTTATCTATGATTGGTGGATTTTGTTTGAAAGGCTGTCAATGATTGGCAGATGAACTTACGATCTCTTAACTTTTTTTGAAAGTATAGGCCCAGGTCAGTAGAATTGATCGCGTCTTGTACAGCATCTCAAATCAGGTCCGAATAAGATTGAAATTGTGATTAGTCACGTCACGAATCACCGCCGATTTGTTGTTGTTCTGTCACCATGTACGCTACACTGATTGTAAATTGCGCTCTTATGTTAATACAAGAAAATAATGAATTATGCATTTCAAATAGTACAGTTCACTACGCTTAACATAATTAGCACCGTAATGTTAATATTGTGTTATAATCACCGCGCACTGTTATTCAGATGCTAACAATACGTGCAACAATCTAACCAATCAAAATACGTACGCGTCTATAAATTGATGTGTTCGTATATAGCTGCACCACTGTCACCAAAGTTAAACATTTACTCCCCCTAATCGATAGCTTAGTTTCGATGTTCCGGGCCTTACCATTAATGGCACCGTATATCAAATCTCCACTGTCAATGAAGTTAAACACGGACACCTCAAAAGACAAGCGAAGTTTTTATGGTCAGCACCGTTTTATTGATGCAGCCGTATTAATGGCACCACTCTAACAAAAGTTGATGCTTTCTAACCACGAGCGACGTTTTGCTGTGCAGTACCGACGCACGGGCCATGCTGCTCTGCTGCTGCTCCTCCGAGACCGCTTGCTGCAGCGCCAGCAGTTGGTGGACGTGTGCGGTCTGGTCTGTACGCTCACCTCCCCTCAGCTCGACACTGGCCAGACCAGGTCTGAGGAAGACAGATCCGACGCGCTCGCGGTGAGACTTTAGGCCATACTATAAAAACTAACTCAAGAACATTTTGCAGCCTATATAATTAAGTACACGTAACGGCCCGAGTACACGTGGCGACCTAAGTACACGTGGCAGCTTAATTACATGTAGCGGCCGATTTCTCGTCCATGATTGGTGGGTTTGGCTTGAAAAGCCGTCCGTGTTTTGTGGACAGAGTTACGAACTCGTAATTATTTTCGATAGTAAAGTCTTTGATATTAATCTATTATCTTTCAGCAACGTGTATTTGATATGTACAGTATATTGCTTTTATTCTTGTTCTGAGTACTGTCTCTTTGCCGCCTCTCTTGGTAATACTACTCCTATAATAATGCTCTGAATTTTCTCCTGTCAAGCTCGCGGTGAGACTTTAGGCCATACTATAAAAACTAACTCAAGAACATTTTGCAGCCTATATAATTAAGTACACGTAACGGCCCGAGTACACGTTGCGACCTAAGTACACGTGGCAGCTTAATTACATGTAGCGGCCGATTTCTCGTCCATGATTGGTGTTTGGCTTGAAAAGCCGTCCGTGTTTTCACTGTTTTGTGGAGAGAGTTACGAACTCGTAACTATTTTCGATAGTAAAGTGTTTGATCTTAATCTATTATCTTTCAGCGACGTGTATTTGATATGTATATTGCTTTTATTCTTGTTCTGAGTACTGTCTCTTTGCCGCCTCTCTTGGTAATACTACTCCTATAATAATGCTCTGAATTTTCTCCTGTCATAGCAACGTTTAGTAGAAATGCTATTCTAAATCTACTGATGTATATTGACTCTTGTGTTGGTAACAGTAACACGTACTGCTCTGCATCGAATAGTTGTAATAAAACAGATAGTTCCCGAGAACGTTTTTAACATTTCTACCGGTAGTGATACATTCAACGCCCATCAGTCCAAACCAGGTGAAAACAGCCATGATTCACTTTGGATAGAAGTCAGCTACATAAGTTGAAGTGCTCCGAGAAAAAAAATTCTTTCGCAATTATATACAAGTAATTTCATTGCACTTTCAAATAAACGATCAATTATTGACAATTTTTCAAATGAGACGTACATGGCGGATGTTTTCATCATTGTAGTCTGCGCATTAACGTTGATTAAGAAGATTTCCTACTCATGATGCAGGATATTCCTCTTGAAAGACATGGGTAGTGAGATGTAAGCTGACAACCACATCTCACTACCTTGTCTTTCAGGTAGAGTATTCATCTTTCTCCAATACGTCAGTGAAACATTCATCTTTCTTCAATACGCCAGTGAAACATACATCTTTCTCCGCTACGCCTGTGAAACATTCATCTTTCTCCGTTACGCCTGTGAAGCATTCATCTTTTTTCGATACGCCGGTGAAACCTTCATCTTTCACTAATACGTCGGTCAAGTATTCGTCTTTTTGCAGTGAACGCAAGGTATATGGAGAGAACCAACCAATACCCCGCGAGTCGCTCGCATCAAACTGGCTTGTCATAGCTCGGGCAATCCACGTTGCTATCACAGCCAGCTTTGATGAGGAGTGGCTCGTGTACATTCATCCGCCTCGATTCCTGGCAAGTGCTCTTTCGATGTGAAGAACATCGGAGGACTTCATTGAAGTGCATTTCTTTCTTAAGGTGACAGCTGAATCTAATCATACGCTGAAGACGGACTCGAATAGTACGGTGGAAGTTTCGCATAGTGGGGCGTTTTGGCACAACTTTGACGATATGCTCGCAAGGGAGCTATCAAAGTGATTGTGAGACGCTATTAAATGTTCGTATCACAGCCACCTTTGATGAGCTCTCTTGCAGCTACCAGTCTCATCTTGCTTTGTGATGTTGATGCAGTTGCCCACCGCGTCTGGAGCTCTCACTACTCGCACCGCATCTGAAATGTCGATGAATGAATGAATGGCTCCTCTGGAGCGTCAAGTCGCGCTGTGCCATGTTGTAATAATCATATCACAGCCTACTTGACGAGTTCAGGGCTGTCTTACGTCAGCGATCTTCGTCCCTCTCATCGGAATCGTCTACAAGATTGAACTATCATGTGCTTCTGGACGAAAAAAAGCGAGCTGTTCGTCGCTCTCAGAGTGGTTGTTAGGTATGGTGTTAGGTTTTCATATCACAGCCAGCTTTGATGAGCGATGCGCTTCTCTCTGAACACTACAGCGGCATCTGGAATTTGGCACTTACATTTTTAGACGAAGATATTCACCATATTTTGAGAGAAATAATCACCAAGTACTCGACAGCTCTCGTCAGAGTGACTGTGCAATGCTTTCCTTGTTCATATCACAGCCAGCTTTGATGAGCGCTGCTGGGTTACAATCCTATCGTTGCTAATTGACCAAAAACCGTCGACACCTTGACTGGGCCCACTCAAGACCTAATTTTTGAAATTGTTTACGACTCGGATTTTTATTATAATTTTTAAAGCTGCAGTAAGTCTCGAGTATCACCGACTCGTATCATATTATTATTATTTTATCGTTGATCAAAATTACCAAGTTTCTCAAGCAAAACAGCAACATCTTCTGTTCTAGTGAACGAGTGTTACCTAATTACGTTTGAATAACTTGAAAAATTATTTTCTGTGGAAGTTTGTTATTCATCGGTAATCACGCTGAGTGGTTTGATTTAATATTTATTTTTATTCAGAATCAAGCGTTCATCAATTATTTAATGGCAATAAAATTTAAAATACTTGTCTGATCGGACAATAACCTTGTGCTCTCAGCGGAAGGTTACTAGCATTTTACTTAGTGAATAACAATTATCTAGATGCTCATGTATCGTAAATTAGTGATTTTTCGACGAGTGAACGATGCACGGCGTAAGTCTTGGATGGCTATAAAGACGTAATGTACTGATATTGCAATAGCTGATGTGCTGGTGTATGGGAAAGATGCACGATATTAAGCTTGGGTGATTAAAATACATAATGTAATGAAGATGCACGGCGTTTAGCTTGGATGGTTAAGGACATAATGTATTTGTATTGATGATGCAACAGCTGATGTGCCGCATGGTGTCGCTACTGAAGAAGAAGTACAGCGTACGCTACTTGCTGCCGTGCTTCCTGCAGCTGTGCTCCGACTCCCTGTCTTCCATCAGACGCATCGCCGCGTCCAATATGGGCGTCTTCGCTGAGGTCGCTGGCACCGCACTTACTGAACAATCTTTGGTGAGAATTCGTTTAATGATTTGAGCCTTGGTAAAATAATCAATGTTTAATGCCATTTGTAATGACTATAGTTATTAACTTATTATGCATCAACGGTTAAGCTGGGAATGCAAGATTCTATCTTCACTTTTGATCAACCAATTCCTAGTTGTCTGTTCCAATAGCTTTCCTATTTCTTATAATCACAAGCACCTTTTTTGCTATCAACTGCATTCTTATGTCTTGCATATATGTAGTTGTCTCAGGTGTTGTTTTTAGCGATGTCAACGTTTTCGTTATCAAGGAAACTATCGAAATCTCGTCGTTCTTAGTGGTATTGCTGGTGTTGCCAGCACTGTTGCCATGATGCTTGGGTTGCCAGCACTATTGCCATGATGCTGGGGTCGCCAGCACTGTTGCCATGATTCTGGGGTTACCAGCACTGTTGCCATGATGCTGAGGTTGCCAGCACTGTTGCCATGATGCTGGGGTTGCCAGTACTGTTGCCATGATACTGGGGTTGCCAGCCCTGTTGCCATGATGCTGGTGATGCCAGCGCTGTTGCCATGATTTTGGTATTTCCAGCACTGTTGCCGTGATGCTGGAGTTGCCAGCGCTGTTGCCATGATGATGTTGCCAGCTCTGTTGCCGTGTTGTCGCAGGCGCCCCAACAGAGCGCGCTTGCGCTGCTGTAGCTCTCGCGTCTCACTGCCCGCACTTCACTATTGATCCAAACGAGCGTAACTCAAACCGTCCCCGCCCACCCTGCCTCCCCAGGGGTCCCCACTCCTCTCTACTTTCCTCCTCCATGTTGCCGTGTTATCCTTCCTTGCTGCTATTGTGATGTGGTGCAGCAAGCGAGCATATCCCAGCTGATCACCTCGAGCCAATACCTCCTGTGTACTCTTGTTAACGACTCATTGAGTGCCAAGAGCGTACTCGTTACTTATTACATGCTTCTATAGCCTTGCATACATTATTCATTTACAATCACTTGAAATCAGTCTAATTAATTTACAGTGATGAAGAGTTTTGTGTAGAGCCGTGCTTGATTCTGTTACCCTGGCTCCTGAGCATAAGATACATTAAAAGCCTTGTGTTGAGTCTGTCAAACCAGCGCCTGGACATTAGATAGATTAATTATTTTTTTTATGTAGAAACCTTGCTTGATCCTATCATTCCGACACTATTACATTAAATAATGATCTATGTTCATTGCCACACCTATAATTCCCTTTGTTGACTTTTTTATGGTCATCACAGTTGCCAGTGTTCGTGAGCCTGTGTCGGGACGCAGCCTGGGAAGCGCGTCGTGCGTGCACTGACAGCTTCCATCAGATGGCGACTGTGTGTCTGCCGGCTACACGACGGATCAGCCTCGCCCCAGTCTTCCTAGACCTGCTTTCAGACCAGAGCAGGTACGTGGCACAAGTCAGATCAGAGGAGGTGCGCGGCTCCATGGTCCACTGCAAGACCAGAGCAGGTAAAGGCTTCGTCGTCTACGTCTATTGTCAGACCTGAGATTGTGCGTGGCTCCGTGGTCGTAGTCCACTAATCAGACCAGGGAAGGTGCGTGCTGCCATAGTCATGGATTTCTGCTGCAGATTTTCTGTCCCTGAGTGCAGGTCTTCATTCACTTGCATGTTTCTTTTAGACTCCAAGAGTGTGTCGCTTGTGCTGGACACTTTTTCATTGAATTTTTAAATGGTCGGGTAATACCGATATCCAATGACGTCATTTTCAGTGATACGAAAACAAATTGAAAGATGAATTTCTCATACCTGGAAAGCATGTTTACCTTGACAAACGATCAATGTGTATGCTTTTGAGCAAAATATCTTATCCTCCTTCAATTTTGATTCACGTCCGTTTCGAAGAATATGAATGTATTGAACATAATACTATCGTTGCAGATGGGTGCGAGCTGCGGCACTACAAGCCCTCGGGATGTTCATCAGCACTTTTGGCGACGCAGACGCAATCAGTAAACGCAACGCTGCCCTGGGCATATCACACTTCCAGTCTGACGACGATGCTTCGAGTTATGTGTATGTTGATAAACTTACTGTACTTTGATCAATTTCAGATCTATCCTTTGAGAATATTTTTTCCTTGTAATGTCTTCTATAAACTTAGCATGTTGCTAATGTTTGTAACACAGACGTTAACGATGTTTTCTTCTCTACTGACAGGGCTAGTGATTCCTCGGACGAAGAAGAGCTTAAAGATTTATTGGATGAGAAAGATGGTGCTGAGTTATCAGCTGATGAAACTGAACCAAGAGATCAATCAGAAACGGAGACTCGACACCATAAAGAAAATCATATTGACGACTGCAGCACCACAAATATTTTATCCATCCCAGTTTTGAAGCGACGCTCGTGTGAACCTCTAGGCTTCCTCAGCGACTCGTGCCGTCCACCTTCATCCCCTCTACCAGCTGTCAACCTCCTCGACCAGCCCTTCGTAACTCCCTCCTCCTTGTATCTGCCTCCTAAGGAGCTAGAGGAACCTTCATTCAATTCTTTCAACTACTGGCGCGTTCCATTACCCGAAGTGGAGCTTCCAATTCTGCACGAAGAAGACTCGACTTCTGATTTACAAAATTCTTCCATTATCGTAAATAATGCTTCAATAGATGCCAGTGAAGACGAGAGCATCACGTCACAACATACTATACAAGAGGTGAGTCCTATATTCTAAGTTTCTAACCTACTATTGTCCAGTGTGATCAGGAATTTATCTTATTAAATTTAACAATGACTTAACTGATTATTCCAATCAATCAGATTGTAATATTAATGAATTAAACTGATTAGTTCCTAGAAGCGTGTTAGAATTTGATCCAAATACTTTTTTAAGCTATCTGCGTACGTACAAAAAGCTTGGGATGTACAGATGTTTTCTAACGATGTGAAATGCTTTTGTTTTAAGGAACGAAGTGCTTCCCAATTGGAGCGAGCTAGCGCACCGACGCCATTTGGAGAAGTGATGGCAGCTCAAGAAGACTTGGACAGCTCAGGCGACTCTGATGATGACACAATCATAGATTTAAGCTCGCTAAGTGAATGTCTCTCAATAGATGAAGAAAAGATAGACTTGAGACTAAAGAGAAGACCTCAATCCCAAAGAGAATATAGAGAAAACGGTCCAGCTATAAACTATGATGAGAGCGTCGGGAGGAGGATAGAACGACATCACTCTGGCAGTGAAGTAAGGAACAGTTGGTTATTGGCAGATCTCTCTGGTTCAGCTGAGTCATCGTCCTCATTTTTCGACTCATCAAGGAAGGTGCAAAGTCAAGATATCATTCCTCATGTAAGTGGAATATATTTGCCATGTGATTATTATTGTATTAAGGGCATCGTTACATTTCACCATTAATGAACAATAAGCGGTCACAGTTGGAAAAATAAGCGGGGCCGTTGTTCATGTACTATCATTATAATTACAAATCACTTCAATGCTTATAATCCATTTTTAATCGAGTGTTCGATTGTTTCTCATGCTTAATTTTGTTATACCGGCCTTATATCAGCTCAGGTTGATAGATATAATTTATCATTTATATGTTTATTTAATTTCTATTTCATTATTTCATATTATTAATTTCACTTCATTTATATATTAATTCCAGGGTTTGCTGGAGAACTTCTTGCAAATGACGGAGCCTAGCCGCACTGCTACGGACGATAAAGACATATGCCGCTACTGCGCCTACGCCATGCCAGCTGTAGCGCTCACTCTTGGCCAAGAGAACTGGCACATCTTGAGAGATACTTACTACAACCTGTCACAACATTACCAGGTTTAACCAGACACGATTTATATTTATTTTATGTTGTTTGGTTTTGTGAATATTCATTCAATGTGTTGTATGTTAGTATTTGTTTGGTCGAGTATTCGCAACATTATTACCAGATTAAACTTTAGGCTATTTATAACGTGAATATATTTGTTTAGTCCAGTAAAAGCGATTTTGCGTGCGCGTGGTATCATGTATAGATTTAGTTTTGAATGACAGAAACATCATTGCTATCTACGACGGTCACAACGTAGTGTACGTCACGTACTTCGTAGCCGTGATTTAATGGTGAATCTGGTCTATAAATGAACTGGATCAATTAAGGGGCTTAGTTGAGAAATGTTTCCAAATATTGTAATAAGAACTTCAGAATACATTTTCATGTGGAGTATAGTACTTATTTCTCTATATGAGTATGAATGCAACTTGGATGACAGTTGCATTTTATTTTTCTCGCAGTGGCGAGTACGACGAACGTTGGCGTTCAGCATGCACGAAATGGCGGCCATACTTGGCGGTGAACATGCTGCTGCTGACATCATACCAATTTACCAGGACTTCACGAGCAGCGAACCTGAATGCGTTCGCATTGGTATACTAGAGAATCTATCTGCGTTCGTTAGAGTCCTGCCGCCCGCCCAACGCAAACACCTGCTGCCCAACTTGTGCACCTTCTTGACCCTCAATGATAGGAAACTAAAAGTGGAGTTCTCCTTCCAGCTCGCTCAACTGCTTCAGTACTTCTCTCCGGCAGACGTGGATGAGTACATCAAAGGGATCTGTTTCAAGCTCTTGGCGGAGCAGCTCAAATACAATAAACACGAAGTTTTTGAGCTGGTGAGCATTATTTTATACTTCAAAAGTTTAACGTGTGATTCATTCAAACTGTGTTATTTGTATTGAAAACATGTATTCAATTTTTTTTCGTAATAATTCATGCATATTATTCCATGCGATAGTAACCTTTTCATTGTATGGCGTGATCTACTTGGAACATAGATTGTACCTAATTCAATTGAATTACAGATGTGCGCTTTAGTTCACCGCCTCGGTGATGAGGGAAACGAAGGCTGCGTCATCGACGTTTGTGAGAAGCTCGTGAAAGAGTTTGGTTTAGACTGCGTCTGGTCTCGACGTCAAGCGTTTGTACTGGTCGCTGGACGCATGCTAGCTACCCGAAGCATGCCTCTGGAGATGTACTGCGAGTATCTCCTTCCTCAGGTCATCAAACTCGCCTCCGATGGAGTCCCAAACGTGCGCCTTGCAGTCGCCGAAGTCCTCACTCGATACCTAGTGCCTAATGGTGAGTAATGTGACTGATGGAGTTTTTTTGTGGTGCAAATTAGATTGCATTGATTAAGTTATTACTTTTTTCGACGTGCTTAGGACTGTTGAGAGATATATTATCAAGTCTAAGCATAACCTTTCATCTTTTTATGCTCTTTTCTTTTTGCAGAACACTTTTTGAACTGCTGCTCACGCGAATACGAACTAGTTCGACAAGTTTACGAGCAGTTACAACGCGACAGAGATAGAGACGTGCGAGATTTTGCTGCCTCACCTTTCAGTGCTGCGGATTTGAACATTGACCTAAGCAGGACCTCCAGCAGCCCTGGCTTGGTGTGTGGGTCTCCCGATCGAGATCGCCTCAGTGAAATTCCGGATGAAATGCCGTCAAACAATCCGGATATCGAGTCCGCACAAACTGTGAGCTTCACTATTGCTGACAATGAAGAATATTGATCAGCCAATGCGAAGCGTCCCACTTGCGTCCATTCTTACTCCAATAGTGAGCAAGCTGCAGCTGGTCTGTCTGTCTGCTCTTGATTTGTTACCTATTTGTGGTTGCCTTCTAATTTTTGATACTCGTCGTGATTAACTCATGCGTCTGAAGAGCTATTAATATATCGTAATCTTATGAAACGATCGTACTGTTACCTCGATTGTTATGACCTTGATTCCGGTCGTAGCGCTTTTGTGCCATGATAACTTCGGCGGACGTGATTAAGTGTCGTCTCGTGGGGAGAAGCTCGGACTTTTGTCGATTGAATCGGAATTAGTTAACATAATTTCAAGTTTTTATTGTAGAGACTAAAGAGCCATATATTTGGAGTTCATTGCTAGACTTTCGTTCAAAACATAGGCGTAATGATATGTCTTATTTTTTGGCAAGATTTGAACGCCTTCGTGGACTTAAATACCAAGCCTTCAGCGTCATCGGAGTTTGCTTATGTGATATGATTGTTGCAATGAATTTTATGCTAATTCCTCCGTATATTAATGAAGGAATTCATTAGACGTATAAAAATTGTTGTTTATCTTTTTGGACCATTTAAATGATTACAGTCCTTACGGGGAATTATCTTTGCCGAAAGTGTTTGCGATAAAATTTACGGAAGAAGTTGAAAGCTGATTAACGCGTATTCTGAAGTTTCTACCTAAGGTTAAGTTCGCAACGCCGTACGAGGTGATTGTCGAGTTCATACATTGGTGCAAATTACTATGCCATGCTTAGAAATGAATACCTCATCTATGATTGTTAAAAGTTCGTTAATGTGGGTAAGGGATAGCAATGTCATCTCTTTGGGAGAGACATTAGGCGTGTGGAGGATTAGTTAATTGCCTCACTATTCCTAGTCAAGGTCTATTTAGATACGTACGCTTCGCGAAGCATTGTATATCTTTATTGTAAATATCCCTATTCATATATTGAAATAAATTCAGCTGTGTATAGGAGGGTGCAGTAAATTAAGTGGCTCGTTATTTTTTAGACGATTCAAAAGAGTAGTAACTTGGTCCTTCATCAGTTCGTCCAATAGTGTCAACTCCTGGCAAAACAATGAGGAATATTGGTTACGACAACCAAATTCCTGAAGCTATAACTTGACTGTGTCTAATAACACTAGCTAGATAAAACCATAATCATGCAGTTGATCTATTCATACAGTAACACATTTTTGAAAAAGTTAGATGTGAAGACAATGAATTCCTGTGAAAATTTAGCCCTAGGGGGCAAGTGAAAATTATTAATATTTGAATCGCAATTACTAATTCGTTTCATCGTTTTTTTTTCTACACCAAGATTGTCCGCAATGTTCAGGCCTTGTTAAAATATTTTCAAATTGAGAGACTAAGCTTTGTTACTAAGGCAAACCGTAATGTTTGTAAACTTTCATACGTTACCTTGAAGAGGAAGCGATATCGGGCAAGCCGGTCCATCACGGGATGATTCTTTACTGCGTTGTGGCCTTCTTGAAGGATAACGTACACGTAGTTCATCACCGACAACGGGTAACTGGGCACAAAAAAATCAATTGAGATACAACATTTTTTTCGTGATTCATTATCATTAGGAACTGGAACCGGAAATTGAATAGCCAGCATTTTTCCCAGATGTTTTATAACATTCTTTGTCCATACTAATGAAAGTATATACTGGTTTCTTCAATTAGGCATGGAGATAACAGTCAATAATCTCTACAACCTCCGCCCAAGGAATTAACGCAACTGACGAGTTGAATAAGATATGGCAAAAAATTATTAAATGAATTGGGTAAAAATCCTGTAGTCTCTAAAAATAATTACGAGAATTTCATTTAAACGAACCTACACAGTTGTAATAAAATGACAAATCCCAGTTTTTGAACATAACGAGATAACATACATGTATCCATGCCGAGCATGAATAATAGTTGAAATAAAATGACAAATCCCAGTTTTTGAATATAACGAGATAACATGCAAGTATCCATGCCAAGCATTAAGAATAATTGCTGAACCAAAGTATTAGTGAATACGGACTTGCTGCACAGCCGATACTTGAGAGTAATGTACTCAAAGCCGGGACAGGCAGCCAGGAGACCATCAGCATGAGCCTTCATTAGTGGAGCCCACATCGTCTCGCACTCCTTGCATTTTGCTGCTCAAATTAAAATCATTTCAGATTAATTTGGGAGTTCAATACTAATAAATAAGAATAAACAATTAAATAAAAATTTAGAAGCTAGAATCACACAATTGAGTGGTAGGTACAGAAGGTAGAGATGCGATGTCATAAATTACAAATATTCAAAAAGAAAAGAATCAGACTAGGAAGGATGAAGAAACTATATTTTAAACAACTTTATTAAACACTTATCACAAAAATCATGGCATTGCATGCCTTACCTATCATGTCATCTTTGAGAAGCCGAAACTCAGGCGACAGTTTTTCAAGAAGCTTCAACTTTTCCTGTTTGCTTAGATTTTCACCAGAAGATGATTGTATGACAAACGGCATTTTTGTACTTGTACAGCCATCCTTTTGTTCTAAAGGTGCCTGTAATGAATATAAAACAACTCTGTACAAATAAAGTTTATCAAGTTCACATGAAAGAATTTTTTCATAACCAAAAAATTATCTTTTTAACTTATTACATCAGGAAAGTTTTACTAGATCATCAGCTCAGATAATAAAATAAAAATTTGCCAAAGATTTAATGCTGAAAGGAGATGAGTGAATTTCTAATAAAAAATATAATTACCACATTGAGAATATCCATGGGATCAAATCCTTGTAGCTGCTGCTCAAGCCTCTTGCGGCGCTCAGCATGTGCTTCCATTTCAAGTGTAGCCACATCATAGACTTCCTTCTTGTGCATTTGATGAGCACGTTCTGTTGCAAAAGATCAATAGACGAGTGCATGAATAAATCTGCGTGCAGATTCTATTTGTGGACAATAGACAATCCCCCCTTTAGAACTATGGATATTTACTCACTTCAATCAGGCATTCTATTTAGAGTTTGTAACAACATTCTTTTATTTACTTAAATGCAATAAAAAACATTAAGCTAATTAGCACATTGGCTTCTTTTACAACACACCAAAATACTGCAATCAAAAATAAAAAAAACTCAGATTTGAAACTTAATGCCAGTGTCTGAAACCCACTTTTAAGGTTTTGATCAGTGACATTGGTGCCATAATAGAGATTTCTGTCTTTTCCCCAAGCACGAGCATCTGGCAATTTTTGTTCCACAGCTTCAACAATGTCATCTGCAGCAGAGAAGCGCTGGCTCTCAATAGGCTCTTCATCATCACTACTGCTGGCACTTGGCTCGTCCTCATCCATCTCATCATCAGATGATCCCATATTTAGGGATAGCAGATTTTCCTAGAAAAAATATGATCTAATTAATTTACTTTTTAAAATCCTGCTCTTCATACCATGCACACACAATAATTACATACTTTAAAAATTGGTCAAATTATGTTAGGAAATAATTATGGTATGTTTAGATCATCAACAATATGATAAAAACTAGCTAGACACTAAGAGAACTGCTCTCTACAGATCATAAAAATATGGATTCTCCTGAAAAAAATTTGTAAGAGTTCAAAAGAACTTACCTTCTTAGCACGCTTGGTATGCATGCCCCTATGTGCTTTAAGAAGATCAGCTTTTTCCACGTCTTCATGGTACTGGTCAATTTCATCATATATATAGTCACGGGAACTTGTATCCACAAGCTTAGTAAAGCCTTCATTGTAGGCACTGCCAATTCCTTCTGAAACTTTGGCCACCGGGGTTTTCTTTTTTCGAGCTCTAGAAGAAAAGACAAAACAAAAATGAATAAAACTGCAAAGTTATGCTCTGTGATTTCAGGTTCACCCAAATTATGAAAATTTTGATTGAAATGTAAAAATTTTGGTCTCAATAAAAACAAGGTTAATAAATATGAGGGTCCCTTTTGGTTAACAACAAATATGAACCTGCAATTCTTGAAACTCATTTGCAGACAGTCCATTTTTATCAGGATTTTTTGAGATCACTTGTGAGCAGAACAATAACATCAAATTATTAGCATACATTGATGAAAAGGACGTTTTTGATACAATATCTGGAATATTAGGACAGAATTAGGACTATTTTTACAACACTTCTCTTCACTTATTGTTTGTCTGTCTGCTACAAATCTTGTAATCAAAATTTAATGCACTTTTACTTATCCTATCGATCTGAAATTTTGCCCACTTGCGTAAAGTTGGAGACAATGCACAAATCAAATGACAAAATAAATAATTTTAAGAATAAAAAAAATTTTTTTTCAATGTTAAAAAATTTTAAAATAAATTTAGTCAGCTACAAATCTTATAATTGATATTTGACACACTTTTACCAGTCCAATTGATCTGAAATTTTGCACACGTGTGTGAAGTCGGAGGCAATGCATGAACCAATTGACAGAATAAATAATTTTGGAAAAAAATTATATAATAAAAAATTTATGAATTAATTTTTTTATAATTCAAAAATGAAATGAGAAATTCATTGTACATCTTTAACATTGGAGACACTGGATTCTTTAGAAGTGTTGTCTTTAAAAAGCAATTTTTAAACATATATTACCGTATTTAGCCTTAAAATCCCTTATCACTAGTAATTTTTATCTTTACGGTATTATTTTGGAGCTGCAATATTTTTGTAAAAAGTAGGATTTTTCCAATCTTGCTCACACTCATAGCTTAATCTTGAAGTTTATCAACAATTTTATAAGAGTAGATATCATTCTATTAGCAGGAATCTCAAAAGGCCAAAAATTGGGAGGCAACTTGAAGGCAGTACAAGAGTGGTAAATGGTAAGGAAATGATAGTGATTTTGTTGCTGAAATGTTGTAGTGCAGTGTGTCAGGGCGACCGCTCCTTTTCCAGACCGTGCACTCCTATTTTGGCTGGTGTGCTCCTAAATTCCATCAAGTAAGGAAAAGTTAAACCTTTTCTAAAATATTGTGGCTTTAATATTATACTATTTCAGTAATTATGAAATCTCACGGCTCTAATGTCAAGTATTTTTGTTTGATTGAAAAAATTGCAGTTTGCCCTTTACAAACATGTCATTCCATAAAAAATTCCAATTCCGCAATCTGCAATACTTCAATATATCAAAATATCCTGCAGAAAGTAAAGATAACAAGTCAACCCAAAATATTTTGTTGAAGATTACATAATTGCAGTCACATCAGAGCAGTCAGACTGCACTATCACATGTTCAGTTGCCACTGAAGTAAAGACAACCAGGAATTTAAAAGCAAAGAAAATACCACAAAAATTCACCATATCTTTATAAGAGAAAACGTTTCGGAGTCCAGCTCCATCGTCAGTTCAAAATTTTGGCTGGTGTGCTCCTAAATTTCATCAAGTAAGGAAAAGTTAAACCTTTTCTAAAATATTGTGGCTTTAATATCATACTATTTCAGTAATTATGAAATCTCACGGCTCTAATGTCAAGTATTTTTGTTCGATTGAAAAAATTGCAGTTCGCCCTTTACAAACATGTCATTCCATAAAAAATTCAAATTCCGCAATCTGCAATACTTCAATACATCAAAATATCATGCAGAAAGTAAAGATAACAAGTCAACCCAAAAGGTTTTGTTGAGGATTCCATAATTGCAGTCACATCAGAGCAGTCTGACTGCACTATCACATGTTCAGTTGCCACTGAAGTAAAGACAAATGTTATTGTTGCTGTTTGACTGTTTTTAGGGTAAAATGAGAGATTAGGGATAACACATGCATAAGACTTTGTAAATAAGTTTGCGGCTCATAAATGGCTCTTCATGGCTGATGATGGCCAAGATGGAATTCACGGCTCAAAGAAATGGAATCATGGCTGGCAAATCCATAAAGCCAAGGCTCAAAAAATGCATGCGCAGCTCACCAAGTAGATACCTATATTCCATGACTGAATTCCATAGGTAGATGGTCATTAAGAAGGCATTTAGAATGCCATCATGACTGCAATTTTCAGAAAATCTTGCCAGAATAACCTCATATCTTATTTGTAATATCAAGCAGAAGTTTCCAAAAATTGCATGTAAAAATAATTATTTCACGGTTTATTTTCATAAATTGCAAATGAAAAGAGACTGTTTCAGTTTTTCTTATTTTGCATGAAAGTAATTAGAAAAAGGTCATAGGAACAGGTGAAAGTAGCCAGATCATGGCACTTTTTGCCAATTCACAGATGGCTTCTGCCCAATTTTAGACTTTGGCCTTTGCCAGTACTTCACTTAACTTGCCAGTTATGGTGGATAGCTTGAGACCAGGGTGCAGATGGTGCAAGCAGTGTCAACAAGATATGGATTTTTAGCCCAAAGCGTCACAAGCCATTTTCAAGATGTGTCACTGGGTAATTTTAAATAAAAAGTGCTGCTATCATATTGTCAACTCTCCATGCACTGCAACACATACTCATCACAACTGATTTCCGCACAAGCTTCACTGCATCCTGATCCTTCCAACGTACTGGAAACCTTACTGTGTGCGCTTGCAGTCTTCAGATTTGCCATAATTGCAATAATTTTAAAAGTAATTTCTAAATGCAATAATTTCAATCCAAATGTGTTGGCACGATCTTCTGAAGGCGTAAATTTTGCGGCTGATGTGTTGCCGAAGACTTTTTGATATTCACCCACTTTCTGCATGCTGGGCTTGAGAGATTTCAATATCCAAACCTGAAAGGCCTTATTTCAGGCATGGAATATATCTACTTGGCCAGCCACAACTGGATTTTCTGAGCCATGGTTTTATGGGTTTGCCAGCCCTGATTCCATTTCTTAGAGCCGTGAACTTATTTACAAAGTTGCATGCATGGTGCCATTCTAGATGCATTCTTAATTACAATTACCTTATGGAATTTTGCAGTGCACCCACATCTACCTTGGAGCGCACTCAGCATTGCACCGAGATGCAGCGTTACGGCTCAGCTGACACAGCCTTGCACAGCTTAAACAGCTGAGATGGACCACTCATCATCAGTCATCAACTTGAGACTCATCAATTCACAACAAAATCTACATAATTATACCACTGTTCAACAACAAATTGAAAATGTAAATAACAAATTTAAACCACGTAGCCAAAATATAGACTGTTCCATGAAGAAAAACAAGAGAAAAATTTATTTCAACAACCAAAATACATTGCTTTAAAGCTGCGCTCCAGCTGTTATTAACTAGTAATGATCAACTTACATACCAGTCTTATGACTTGAATAACTAAGAAAACACTCAGTCGCTCACTTCACTTTAAAATTTAAATGCCAAAATTAGGTCATTGCTTCACATTTCACTTTAAGGCAATGTTCAATATCTAAATTTAAAAATTAGCAAAGCACTTACAGTTCAAATGAAACACTCACATGTGAAATGATGTCATTGCATCGAAACAAGGAGAGATTAGAAGGCCAGCGGACCCATTTTTTTACATTAAGAAGTTAGAACAAATTACACCCATAAGGCGCAGGTGCGGTAGGTAGTGCAAATATCTAAGCTACTAGGTCTTGTGTTAAAGAGGCTGACAATATTTTATTGTTAATATCTAAAAGTTATAGTAACTGAGAATTACGTGTATATGGTTTTTTATTGATTTTAAATTGCTGCATAGTCGGGTATTTAAGAAAGATTTTTTTGTTCACTGTGAATTTAAGCAAGTCATAATGTTTAAATCAAACAAGGAAAGAATGGAAGAAAACTCACAAACGAATGCAAAATCTTAAAAATTTTCATGAGCTAAATGTCACCGTTGATTAGTTATGAAAGTATATTCATAATTTTGTTCAAATCTGTTCTGTACTTTTGAAGAAATGTCTTGTTCACTGCAAATTTTGGCACATGTCACCATATAACTCACAAATGAAGGCAAAATAAAAAAATTTCATGAGCTAAAGATCATTGTTATTCATAATGAATATGTGTACCAAGTTTCATCAAGCTACGTTCATTACTTTGAGTCTCAAAGGTGGCATTCTAAATGCTTTCTAAATGACCATGTACCTATGTAATTGAGGAGTGCTGTGGCCAAAAATAGAAATGGGATGGCCATGTGCTCCAATACAAGTGGGCCAGCAGCAGCACGCTCCAACAAGAGCAGTCTGGCAGCAGCAGCAGCAGCAGCAAGCTCATCCCGCTCCCATTGTAGCAAGATGAGCATGCTGCCACTGCTGTCGGCCCACTCGTGTATGAGGGCGCGTGGTCGTACCGCTCCCCTCACCACCTTGCACCTCAAGTGAGCAGCGCTGGAGCGCTCCAGCTATCCTGGTGGATTTAAATGACCAGTAATTTCCTAGAATTCCACCATGCTTTGAGAGATATTCCTTGTTAGTTGTTAACTGAGTTTGGGGTGACCGGCCACAAGTCTGGCCATAAAATTGTTTGAAAAATTGAAACTTAACACACAGCTTATGAAGGATCATGTCTTGAATTAGTTGAGGCTGTAATGTTCAAATATCCATGAAATTTGCATTGAGAAGGAACATAAAATTTTTTAACTTTTCCTGGACTGTTGTTTTACTAAAATAATACAAAAAAAATGAATTATTGATAGCCATTATTTGTTCAAATGCTGATAAAACACATTCTCCTAGTTCATGACTTGTAGAAGTGTTTAAGTATTTTTTTTCTTTACTCGTTGAAAAGTCAACCGGTAAAGCCACTACATCCCTGAGGGACAGAATCTAACAACAAAATAATTCTATAAACAAATTTTAACTAAATTGAACATAAAAATTAAACATTTCTAGATTTAGTTTAACACTCTTCATG